AAAGACAGCCTAAGAAAAGACTGCGCTACGATGACGCAAGCCCCTACCAGAGATATGTTTCGAAGGTGAGTCTAATGAGCTTGCATATTGTAAAAACACAGCACGAACTCACCCTTCCGTTGAATCGACGTGTACTGGCGAAGTTTTTGCAACCTTACTCCGCACTCCAAACGGTGTCTTCTTAGAATGGTTGTTTCCAGATTTTTCGTTCTGAAACAAAATGTAATAATCTTTTTAACAACAATATCATTGAAAATTCAAATCCAGTGAGAATGTATGATCCTCGCTCATCCCTTTCCCCGACTTAACAACGCTCTGAATTCCTTTTGCATCGGCAGAAGCAGTAGCTCTTTCGAGAAACCATCGCGATGCAGAAAAAATGGCAAAGCACTCACGGAAGACTTCGCCGCCCTTTTGCGAGAGTTCTTTGTGGACATCTTCGAACTTATTAGCGACGAGCGACAACTTGAGCTCCTATAACATCTTGATTTCCCAACAAGAGCGTTGTATTCTGCGAGAAGTAGAAGCACTACCTCACCCATCGAAGAAACATAACAAAAAGTGCATGTACATGAAACAATAGTGGCTCCCACCCATACCACACAGCACAATACAAGCGGTTTCTATAAACATTCATTCGAAACAACAAGACGCATTGGAAACAAACATAAAACCTCTCAAACGACATTGCTATCGAAAACACCGTAAGATCTAGACTAGCAACCTTTTTTAACAACAGCCTAACAACAACTACGGAAATTATAAACAGTTCATGTTCGTAATCGTCTTCTGTCAACTCGCAGATGGCTTTGGATTTGATTCTAGCTGAGCCTAAAACATTGAGCGTACAAAACTGGTAAATGAAGAAGTTTTCGCAAGAGTAATGATTCTGCAGAAAGGAGCAAAACTAACCTTCGGCCGGTTGTTAGGATCAAAGGGACTAGGCAGTTGCAGACCAGACTTCGCTTCAAAGAAAGTGTAGCTGAGAAGGATATTGTCCAGGTATTCCAAAGCTGGGTCATTGGCATAATCAGGATCTATGTAGAAGAAAACGGGCAAATCCACCTTAAACGATGAAAGCCATCCGAAGCTAGGGTTCGAATTGCATATCGCAGAAGGAGGTTCAAACTCACTTGTTCACCAGGGTTCAAAATTTGCTCTTCAAAACAAAAACACTGGATCTTATTGAAATAATAAGCCGCTTGGAATGGCGTAAGGTTGTAACTCGATATGCCAACTATTGGACGATCGGTAGGATTTTTCGCAGTGTAGAACGCAAGGGCCGTTTCTCCTGGATGAACGTACATCTAAAAACAAGCAATAATCATTCCATATTCTAATTCGCGGAACTCCAAGCAAGATTCGTCCAGTCACACCCGCTCTACAGCGTGTGTGGTTCGCTATGACAGAAAGCGACTTTTTCGCTTTTCGCAGCACGGAACGTTTATCGCTGCGAGGACCCCTACATGCCTGAGAAATGGTGCACCTAGGGTTTCCACAGCGAAAACTTTCGCACGGGAGCGGCAAAGCCGCTTTCTGACCTAGCGAACCACACCCTCTGCCCAACGACATCGTTAGGAAGTCTGACTGTGTATTAATGTACGCGAGCGATCTTTTCATGCTGTTGTGGCTTGAATTCCCACTGCATACTAGAAGGGGTGTCAGAGTTGAACTGTACTCGAATAAGTCGATCTTCTACTTTCTTCATTCTTGCGATTTTTTCAAAGTCATCTGCAACCTAAACGCTATAAAAACGTTTTGTGGGATTAAGCACGGGAGTCTGTTACCAAAAGGAATCCCAAAACGCCTCAAAAAAGCATCTAGTGAATAAATACCTGAGTTAAACCACCAAATGAGGTCTTTTCACAGAATACCCTGTAAGCCGGAATCGCAGCAAACGTCACTCCAATGGCCACAACTCCCAGACTCACCACGTAGTACAGTACATCGCGGTGGCCTCCAGCATCTCTACCCTACACAAATACATTAACTTTCGACTTCGATTGAAGTGAGATAACAAAAAAGGAAATCACTTGATAAGCTGTTCGTGCGATGCGGAGCCGTGCGCTAGGAGGTAATAGTAATCGTGGTTTACAAACAAAATGCGAAGTTGATGGTAAGGCGAGTCGTAGAAATCGGGACAACGACATCTAAACTCCTTCAAATAAACATATGTTGAGTACTACTTTTCAAGTATTGTGGCATAGATAAAGTATGGAACCGCACAGTGATACCAAACAGAAACACCAAAAGCAAGAACTCGTTTAATGTACGGCAGAAAAATTTACACATCGACAAGTGATTTTCGCTTCACTTTCCGCTTCTCTTCGGGCGCAAACGGATTTTGGCGCTCATAAAAAGACTTCAAGAGATTGACTGATCGATCGACATCTACTGAGTCCACAATCTAAAGTAAGAATACCATGAACAACTAAGTAGCAATTAATCAAATCGAAATCAATTTGGACAGAGCTAATTCTTTACCTCGATTGTTGCTCCTTTCACATTGTACTTACTGCTATTACCCACACTTTTTATTCCTCCGAATCTCTCGTTCGCAGCCGCGTAAACGATTTTGGATATGCCTAAACAGCAGACTGTAACACTGCGTTAAATGTCGTATCTGCTGCGAAAGCGTCCAGTTGAAGACGAAATTGAGAGGACGTTCCTTTTTCTTATGTATATCTAGGATCTGGTCAATGAAACGTATATCACCTTTATCCTAACTCATAGAGTCCACTAGCACACATTATGCATGGCTCAAGCGTCACGTAGAGAACTAAATCATGAAGAATCTAAATATGTGGTATAGTTCCGCTCAAAATAGGCTCAAATAAGCTATCGTAATCAAGCCGATTTCCGGGCCCAACGAGTAAAAGTCTCAGTTTTTTTGAGATGAGAAAGTATTATTTTACGCCCGGACCAATCCAGTTTGACTTATTATGCGGGTTTCGTCAGCAAAGATAACACTACTGATATGAAAGAACTGTATAAGTTAAATGAACTGGGTATTTCAACAAAAGTACAGCAAATGAGAGGAGCCGATCGCTAACCTCTTTGATATTCGGAATCTGCAACTCCATTCTTCGCAATGCAACCATTTCAGCATGGGTAGTCGGATCCTTTGTGCTGTTGACCTCGTTCCTGCCTCGTCCCACCTATATTTCTCTTGAATTAAAAGTTACTAACAAACTTAGATTCAAACACCGACCAGGTTTCAGATCATCGCTATAAAAAGACTGCTTATATGTCAGCCTATATTTGTCATACATTTACATAGTCACCATTGGTAGCCGAGTCAAGCTTGGGACGGATGGCGCATGGGTGTACCTGTATAATAGAACAGGGCTCCAAGTGGAGCTCCGCCAACGACAAGTACGGCATACAGCGAAATGGACGATGCCAAAAGCAAAAATTACTCGTTTCTCAGAACAGGCCAGGAATCGATAAAATAGGTAAAGGTGAGCAAGGGGTGCTGGATGCTATGAAGAAAACCCACTCGCGATAGGCCGTACCTACCCTACTTGGACGGCACCTAGTACCAATGTCGGTTCCAAAACAACCTTGTTACCGAAAAAAAAATGGTAGAGACAAAAGTCTTCCATTAGTGCTAAGCAGGCCGAAAATTAGTGGGAGCTCTGCTGAGCATGTTTGCTGCGAAAACCGCAACCGTTACAAGAGGTCCCAAGGTTGAGAGGATGGATAGAAGCAAACCAAGCACCAAGCCCAATCTCCATGGCTAATGGCTAAAAAGTTCGAAGTTTGGTCTCAAATAAGTCTAACATCACAACATTACCGTTACCCGTGAGACGCCACATAACCCGGAGAAATATATCTTTTCAACGCAAATAAAAGCGCCAACCATCTCCTAACCCTCGCAACTCTCAATTATAAGCACGGAGACTACTCTGAAGAACACACACCTCTTTCCCACGATATACGAACACGCAGCCAACAGGAACTTCATTATTTTCAAGAGCCTCCTCCGCCAGTTGAAACGCTCTCTCCATGAACTCTTTGTCGCTATCTGACAGCTGCACCTGAACAAGATCCTGTTTCTCAATACCAGTTGGATATCAAAACTGTAACCACGTTAGCACCTTATCTGCTGAACTCATCATTCAGATCAGGCCATAGCAAAAATACGGCGCGAACTCTACTCCTCAACAAATCTGTAATATCCTGAAATACCTACATATTATACTACATGATAACTGCTACCTTGAGCTTGCAAAAAATACAAAAATACATAAAATACTCTTGCACTTCGTTGAAATAGCCAATAAAAGACCGATTTAGGGACGTCCTGACAAAAGTTGATCGTATGAGTCGATAAGAAATCCAGGTTCGAGACCTAATGTCAGGCATCGGATTTTAGATTTCGTCGGAACGAAAGCATCAAGAACTAACAACGGGGATGCCGAGGGAAAAAGTAATTCTATCCAAAATACAAGACAAGAAAAACCACGAACACGTTCATCTGAAATCGCCTAGGTTCTCGCTTGATTTTTATTGAACATATATGGTGTAGGTCCTGCTACCTTCCATTAGAAATTCAACACATCGACTACGTCTTAGAGTAACAGCAGCGGTAAAACTGCAATCATATTACCTTGCAAGACCTATGAGAATATGAAGAAAGCGGCACCAAATTTCGGATGAGATAATCGATATGAAATCGGATGGTTTTGAGGCCTCTGGACACAAAAACAAACAGTAAAGATTTAGACATTTATCCACAATAATAGAGCACAGTGAGCGATTAAATATTTTGTGCTTAAGATTCGGACGCTTTCGATATTAATTTTCCTGCAAGCATCTACCCGAACTCTCCTAGAACCATCCTTTCCATCTCTTCGACTACCCCCTCAGATGCTTCGCCCGTACATCCGGATAACTGGAACAGAGATCAATCAAGCAACTGCACAGATTCCAATTGAAAGCGGAAAACTTACCGATTCTTCAGCTTGAGCTACAAGACATAGCGTAGCAGCTTCGATCACCTCATCTGTCATGTAGAACCATGGATATCTTAAATAAGCAGTTGGATTTACTCGCTAGCTTCATACAACTCCGATACCAGAACGCCTGGTACCAGTCTAAAGGAAATCATATCGTCAACATACGATCGTGGATCAGGGCGGGCCGTGGAAGACTCTGTCTCAGATTCGTTCTCAGAAAGCGGTGAAGATGGCGATCCAGTTGTAAGTGAAGAAGCAGCGTTCGCAAGATTCATCAACGCAGAGCTCGTCGAAGAAATCCTTCGGAGAGAAGAAAAATGAAAACGAGCAAGAAAAGAAACAAAATGAGATTCAGCTAATATTTCCACACTCCAGACTGCCACCACACTATAGTTCTAGTCTTGTTTCTACTCTATCATCTCTTATTTTCCGTCTACCTTTCTTCCTGTACAATTCAATTTTAAGCAGCACTATATGCTAAGCTGAGAAAATACCACGCGAACTGCAAATACAGCCCCTGCATGGTTGACTAACACAAGATATATGGGAGGCAAGCCATTTAGCCATTTGGCCAGCCCTACCTTTCTAAACCAGAGTAGGCAACAACATTTCCGTGCATGACATTCAGCAGTAAGAGCACCTTGGGTTTCATTATATATGGCTGCAAAAGGAACATTAAAGCCAATGACAGCACGACTATGCAATAGTGTGGCTCATCTCCCATATTCCTTGTTCCAGACAGCCTTGAAACGTTATTGTAAATTTTTATTTTCATCCCCCCCCCACCTACCATAATACATTCGGCTCCCCAACCTTCGGCAGTCTTTACCACTTTTTCGGCCTAATCACTGACTTAGAACTTCATTGGATTATACATTCCCAATCCTACCTATTATAAACCCTCCTCCTCTATGTTTCGCTAAGGGCGGAAGTGGTGTTGTGGCAAGTGGCACTGCTTACTGTGCCGCGAGCGGAGGATCAAATCCTGTATCGTAAGTCGACGGGGCCAGACCTTCCATCACCTCTTGCGTCGGTAGATTGATAACCAGACTCGCTTGGGGGATGAGAACACTAAAATGTAGACCAACTGATGTTGGTCAAATAGCATTTCAAGCGCCACTGCAACTCTGCATGGTGATACAGCGCTTGGCGCATTATGCGCATACGAATGCTCTTCCTATCTCCAGGCCATTTAGGAACCAGTTTATAGAATTTTCGTTAGGGAAGCGCTCTACTCGTTGTGTGGGCAACCATCTGCCCCTTTCAAGTTTGACGGAATCATCAGACGGAGAGACGACGCAAAACAAGAGCGGCGGAACCAAGCAAAATAAGACCCACTGTTCTCAATTTTTGGAACATAGCAGACCCGAACCGAAATTTTCGTTTTCAGCAAAGTTCATTTTGTTTCGGACCCGGCATTCATGGGCGGCCTCCGCCTGGCTGATAGCCAAGTCGCTTAACTAAGTCTCTCACGGTGATTCCTGAGGGTTACGGAATTTCGAGAAAAAAAAAACGACCCACATTCCATGAAGACGGTAGCTCTCATACATGGTAGAAAAGGTAAGGATCACTAATCAACGCTAAACTTTGAAAATTATAGTACCTGTCATTTCGGTTGGCACGATCTCCTTCAGTATTCTGACAACCATGGCATTTACACCGACTTGTACACGGTACCTTTGCCTAAATAGCGAACTAAGAATAACTGATACATTCTTACTGGTTAGAACTCAACCTACCTCAAAGCACTCGCAGTAATTTTTTAAGCAACCGCTCTTTTTACAATGACATCCTTTTTGGTGCAGTCTTTCTGCATCTACTTTGCCACTTTTTACTCCTAAAATGACATGATTGTGAAGAATTACAAAGACTAGTGGACATTACGAGGCCAAAGCACAGGAAATATAATCGAAAGCGTGTGTTCCACTTGAAACGAACCGATTTTCGGTTTAAATGCATTCGGATTCCTCTCCAAAGATTGCTTTATCGCTTTGGAACGGTCAGCGTCGTGTTCCAAATTGTTATGGCAGTCTTTGCAATTGCAGTCGAGGCAAAACTCTCCATTAGCGAAACAGTCGCAGTAAAGCTTCAAACACATAGACTTTGTGCAGTTGCAAGGTTTTCGTTGACCAGGTAAGGGCTTCCTAAACAGTTCGTATAAACCAAAAAGGATCTCATACTCGGGCGACAACAAGAAACATTATATTGAAATACTTTTTGGGCTTCGAGGTTGTCTGATTGGAAGGCAACTGGAACAAAGATGTTGTCGAAGGCGAAGAAGTGTAGGATTTCGAAACGCTAGTACTCATGAGAGGAAAACCGAGAACACTTGGCTTCTCCAATAACTCATAAGATTGCTGTCGTGACACCTAAGCAGTTCATTTAGATGAATGAGGAGTAGATCGAAAAACATCTGAGGTTCAAACTCGATAACAGACTTACATTGCTGCTGAATTGATCGGCAAAAGAGGGTTTCGTAATATCAGATTTATACCGGGTGACCTGCAAGTAGTGACTTTCAACAAAAAAGTGCCTTTGAGAAGGTTCGTTTGGGACAAGTGTATTCATTGACCCTTCATCTTGTCAACTTTAACAAAACAGAAATTTAATTCGAAACTTGCTCACTTGCGGGGCTCGTGAGTGGTAGTTCTGTTGTTGGATGACGTGGTGACTTTGAATACGAGGTGTGGAATCAACAACAATACGCTGAGCGACAGGTGCAACCCTCACTTGTTGCAAAACTTGTGGTTGTGCTGATACAGAAGGCTGAAAACCGACACACTGCAGAAAAAAGCGCCTCCTAGCTCTTGCAATGGATCTACATCAACACTACCCGAGTCTTTACAGTGAAGCGTTCGGTGATAACCGCTCACAAGGCGTTTACGACGAGCTTACCTGAGGAACTATGGAATGTGGGTTCGCCTGAACAAATCGTCCATCCTCAAGTTGAATGTACTCCTCTTCACGAAACACATCACCGTATTCCTCTCCTCCTTCGATGAATATGGCTTCTCCATCATCAACTAAAACTCGTTCGTAAATCTGAAAATGAAAGGTAATACACACAAGTGAATTCGAATAGCATTTTGAAGAAAAACAGAATACAATAATTAAGAGATTCAAAATTTATTCGAAAATTTACTGTCCACTAGCCTAGGAGTCAATGGGAATGGTTCGGTCAAAACAAATTTGCAGCGTACTTCATCGCCACCAGCAACCACTAACCACAAACTTATCAGCTCCACAGTAATAGTATCTCTCAATAATTATTGCTAACTACACAAGTGTGATAGATGGAGCTGGAGTAGTGCGTGGCGTCGCTCGCCACTCACACGATCCGGGGTCCAATCTCGAACCTAATCTCGTGCAAGCCAGGCGTAATCCGTCGCCTATCACTATCGGTGAGTTCGTAGCAGTCCCCTGGAAGGATGAAAGCACTGACTCATACATTAGCAGACCATAGTTCAATTGGAGAAAGAGAGACAAGGTAGCAAATATTTTCACTAATAGTTGATAAGCGGAATTCATTTGCGACACGTAAAGTTTCCAAAACTATGGAAAACAA